GGCGCTCTGCAGCCCCTCAGGAAGAAGCAAAGGTGGCGCACGGAGCCAGGCACTCGAGTGAAAGGAGGGGGAGGTGGCGAGAGACACATGAGAAATCAAAAGAAGCAGAAAAAAAAAGCAACACTAGCAGCCAACAAATGGCACCCAGAGAGCCACCCGCTTGGGTGTGTGGAATCCAAACAGCCGGCGCTTCCGGGTCAAGAGACCCTGGAGGCGGGAAGCAGAGGAGGCTGAGCCGGTGCAAAGAGGGGTGGGGGGTGGGAAAGCGCACACCGCAAGTTACCGGTTGTTTTGTCTCCCGCTGGACGCTCCATGAGGCTGCTTTCTCGTACCCCCGTTTGCTGGTCTCCGATAGGAGTCCAAGATGGTGTATCCATGCTGCATTTCTATGATTCTAAGGAGATCTTTTCCTTGTAACAATTACACGATAAAGTGGTGGTGACATTGTGAATGATTGTGGAGTATTGTGGGGTAAGAAAAAGTCCACCTTCTCAGCCCTTACCTTTGTTCACTCAGCCTCACCAAGCCCTCTCCCTCCACACCTCAATTATTGCCAACCCTACATAAAAGTACACCCACACTTAAATTCCAACTCCCCATGAATCTAGGACTTGAAGAAGGCCTTTTGTTCCAAGCATTCCTTTCCCTGATGTTTAAAAGTACTTTCCTGTCTTTCGTCTTTGGGTTCTCTAAGCCATAGGGCAACTGGAGGTCCTGGAAGGTCATTACACCTTAGGTGGAGAGGCCTGAGTTCTAGTGTTGGCTCTGCTGCTAACCGGTGAGACGGCATGGATAAGTTCAATTAACCCTTTAAGCCTCAGTTTCCACATCTGCGAAAATGAGCTAGTGGCATTAGATGCTTCTAGGTCCCATTCCAGTTCAACGTTCTTGTATTAATGTAATTTCCTGCTTATAAAAAAAAAATCCACTACGTGAAAAGAACTTCCAAGTCTGGAGTTCATTATAACAGGATTTTGCCCTTATTTTAAAAGCAGAGCAAAAGCCAAGGATAAAAAGAAATATAGAGAACATGTCAGGAAATCCCCTAAAGACTTGTTAAAAGACTACAGACAATAAAAAGAAAACATTGCCTCTGTTTTACACACACACACATGAACACACAGACACACACGCCACACACCCATACACACACACACACAAATACCACACATGCACACACATAGACATGCAAACATACGCACACACACACACACACACACACACACCCTCATACATACATGCACAGATTTTTGAGAATCTAACTTCACTCAGTTAACAGTCTGAAATAATTAACACCTTATAATACTTCTAGTAATAGTAATTTTTTTCATTTGTCCTCAATGGCTCAAGTTTAAGTCTAAGTTCTAGCACCACCTAAGTTCTAGAAACTTAGGCCTCTTAGCATTTTTGGACGTCACTTTCTTCTTTGTAAAATTCAGAATTGGATCTCTTCCAACTCTAACAGTATAGGATTAAAAAAATCCTTTACACTTTATAAAGTCACTTCATTTGAACCCTACAAAAAGTATTATTCACAGAAGAAATTTCCACTGCCATTTTACAGCTAAGAAACTAAGGTGCAGAGGGTCAAATGATTTTCCCAGGCTCCCACCCAGGCATTAACTCTCAGGGGTTCTAGCCTCACACCCATGTAGATCTCACCTTTTATGTAGAAAGCTTTAAAAAAATATATTTCACCATCATTTTATTTTGAAAATTTTCAAAGCTATAGGAAAGTTGAAAGAAGAGTATAATAAGCACCCCTGTACCATTCACCCAGAGGTCCCTTGGAAGAAAGGCCTGGCGATCTGCTTCTGAAAGGTCACAACCTTGAAGACTCTATGGAGCACAGTTCTACTCTGAAACAGATGGGGTCTCCATGAGTTGGAATCAGTTTGACAGCAACTTTTTTTGGGGGTACCATCCACTTAGACTCAACATTGTTAATGTTTTGCCATATTCGTTTTACTTTTCTTTCACTCTCTCTATATTTACAGGCTTTGCTGAGCCATTTGAAAGTGAATTGCAGACATCATGACCCCTCACCCCTAGGTGCTTCAGCATATGTCTCTTAAGAACAAGTATATTCTCCTACATAACCAAAATACCGCATTTCACCCAAGAAATTGAATATTAATATAACAATACGGTCTAATAAGTAGTCTACATTCTAATTTCCCCAATTATCCCAAGCCCGCCCCTTGTAGATTTTTCCCCGATGCAGAAGCTAATCAACAATCATGAACTGCATTTGGTCACCAGATCTCTTTGTTGTTGTTAGGTTCCGCTGAGTCGATTCCGACTCATAGTGACAGTATAGGACAGAGTAGAATTGCGCTATAGGGTTTTCTAGGCTGTAATCTTTACAGAAGCAGACCTCCAGATCTTTCTGCCCTGGAGCTTCTGGGTAGGTTCGAACCGCCAACCTTTTGGTTAGCAGCTGAGTGCTTAACTGTTGTGCCACCAGGGCTCCTCACAGATCTCTTTAGTCTGCTTTAATCTAGAGCAGGCTATTCCCTTTTCTTTTTTGTTCTTTCTTGACACTGGCATCTTTGAAGAGTCCAAACTAATTGTCCTATGATCTGAAATTTGCCTGCTTGTTTCCTTATTATTAGAAAACCTTTTAAACAGTGAATATTTGGGAAGACAACTTTCACAAAAACGTGAAATACTGCCTTCCCAACTAATGGGAGCAACGTGCCCCCCTCCACACCGCCACCACTACAACACACACACACACTCATGCACACTCACACTCATACACACTCACGGGCTCACCTTCAGGAAGCAGGAAGCAGGATGAACAGAAGAGCATCCCAGTTAGAAAAACCTGCCCCAGGACTGTGTCTGGTGACACAGAAGAGTAGGAAAATTTCCAAAACAACATATTGAGGGAAATGACAAAGGGTCTCCACCTCTTTATTTTGCCAAAGAAGGACATTTAAAAAAATCAAAATTATCACCAGTTACCATTTCATAAATCTATTGTAATTTCATAAACAGAGGTCATTTTAACACCAAAAGGTAGGAAATAACAATCTCTGAGCAAATATTCAAAAAAGGGTAATTTTTGAAATGGGCACTTGGGAACTTTGTACTGATCATATACATGTATAAATATACATACATATATACATATATGGAGCCCTGGTGGTGCCGTGGTTAAGAACATGGCTGCGAACCAGAAGGTCAGCAGTTTGAATCCACCAGCCACTCTTTGGAAACCTATGGGGCAGTTCTAGTTTGTCCTATAGGGTCGCTATAAGTCAGAATTGACTCAACAGCAGTGGGTTTGGCTTTTCTGGTATATACATATATATCTTGCCTGGTCCTTACCTTTCTCATTTGGCTATGAACTGTGAAAATTTTGTTACGGACAGCCGCAAGAACTTGGAACCACTGACCTAAACAAAACTATCAGGAGCTAAATTACTTAAAAATACATGAAAGTGATTGCATTGTCCTCCTCAACTGCTCAGCCTTGTGCTGGATGTGCAGTCTCTGGGAGAGCAGGCAGGGCAGAAAGGGCAGGCCTGGGGCCTCTGTACCAGGTCGCCATGAGCCATATCACCTGCTGGATGCAGGGCCCCTCCACCTGGCATTCCTACCTTCCCTGGAGCCTTGTGGCGTGTCTTGGGCCTGGGGACACTGGCTCTTTCTCAGCCTTGCTACCTCCTGCCTGCTGCTTTCCAGCCTCCTGGCCAGGTCCTCGTTCTCCTGACCCAGTTGCCTCTTCTCTTCCTCCAGAGTAGACTTGTCTCGGAGGAGGTTGCTATAGGCCGTCTCCAGCTCCCTGGTTTGGCTTTCCAGCTGGTCCCGCTCCCTCCTCAGGGTACCCAGCTCCCTCTGCATTCCCTCTTCGGTGTCCTGGGGTCCAGCAGATTGATCCCTGGTCAGCCGCTGGAGCAGGCTCTCCAGGGAGCTGAGCCGGGCCTTGGTGGCCTCCAGGTCTGCATGCTGGGTGCTGCTGTCTCTCTGGAGGTCCTGGATGGCCAGCATGGTCTGGCCCGACTCAGGGCAGCTGGATTCATGGGGGCTTGCCACGCTGAAGGTGTACTGGCATCGGCTGCTCCGATCGTCAGCCTTCCAGAGTTGGGCTGTCCTAGACCCCCCACCCCATGCCAGGCAGGCCAGGAGCAGCAGCTGGACAGCTGGCATGGTGGGCCCACAGCTGCAGAAGCGCGCACAGACGCCTTCAGTTCAGAGGCTGGGCGAGGCTTCCTCTGGAAAGGTCTGTGCACGGCAAGGTGTCTGGATGAGTGGCCCTGCCGGCTCGTGCCCGAGCTCCAGAGAGCCTTAGATGTACTGGGAAGCCAGCCCCACGTGTGGGGAGAAAGCGGTGGCCACGTGAGTCTGGGTGGGGCCGTGCAAGGAGGGGTTGTTTTCACACTGCCAGCAAGACTCTTAAAAACTCACTGCAAAGATGTCTCTTCTGAAATTTTTTCAGACAAGGATGTCCCACTTTACACGCCCCACACCCCAATAATAGTCCCAGTGCCCCCACCTCCAGTACCCCCAACTCGTTTTGCACACACACACTCAAACACGCACCCATCTCACCTAGCATGACTACCAGCATGCCGATTTCGACAAGGATTTATTTATATTTTGTATTTTCCTTCACTCTGCACACACTTTATCAAGCACCTGCTCTGCACCAGGCACTGTGCTAGAACCAGTGGTACAGACATGCCAGAGACAGTCCGCCCCTGCTGCAGCGACAGAGAAATAGCAGGCCAGTTAGCATACAAGGACAGCACTCCCACCGGCCTTCAGCTTGCAGCCTTCCCGTAGAAATAGTTTAAAGCGGAATTCTTCCCTTACTCCTCGCTTTAAAACCAATGTGGGCGTATCTTTGGAGAGCTTTTTAACCTCAGTCTTGCACATTAGCCTTTGGACTAGTTCTTACCATGTGTGCGTGTGTGTGTGTGTGTGTGTGTGTGTGTGTGTGTGTGTGCCATGAACCCCATTGATGAAGCCTCTGGAGCTCTTCTCGGAGAGAAGTTTTTAAATGTATAAAATATGAAGAATTATAAAGGAAACAAATGGTATTGAAATACAATTATCAAAATATTTTTAAAAATTGAAATACACAGCTGAGTAAAAGGTAGAACAAAACTCTAACTCACAAAAAAAGACCAGACTTACTGGCCTGACAGAGACTGGAGAAACCCCGAGAGTATGGCCCCCGGACACCCTTTTAGCTCAGTACTGAAGTGACTCCCGAGGTTCACCCTTCAGCCAAAGATTAGAAAGGCCTCGAAAGCCAGACGAGACTAAAGGAGCGGCCAGCCCAGGGGCAAGGACGAGAAAGCCGGAGGGGACAGGAAAGCTGGTAGCAGGGAACCCAAGGTCAAGAAGGGGAGAGTGTTGACATGTCGTGGGGTTGGCAACAAATGTCACAAAACAATACGTGCATTGTTTAATGAGAAACTGATTTGCTCTGTCAACCTTCATCTAAAGCACAATTTAAAAAAAAGGCAACTAGCTGAACCAAACAAACAAACAAAAAAAAAATTGAAATACACATGTATTTCTTTACGAGCACATTAAAAACAAGAACTAGCAGGGGAGTCTAATTTCAAAGTAATATTGACTGTAAATGATATTTTATGACATTGGCAGCTGCTGTAACATAATAGGAAGATGTCTGTGATTTCTACTGACACTACAGAGTCACAGGTACTGCTTATACTACTGTGGGTTTGGGACTGTGTCTACATTGGAAGGAAATGCTAAATGTAAATTTTAGTTACAAGGCAGTGAAAATAAAGATGTAATTTTTTCCCATCCAAATTCACAAACTTTCTGGGCCCCAGGTTAAGAATCCCTGTTTTGCATTAATAAACACAAAGAGAAAATAAACAAAATAAATAAAAATCCGCCAGCTGTACCAAGAAGTATCGGAGGTCCATCCAAATCAGTATGTATGTGGTAGCCTCACCAGTAACTTTTAAAGTAATGTTTGCACTTGAGCAATTATATGTTGTCTGATATCTGTAACATCTTCAATATCTGTGAAGCACTTTGAGATTGGGGAAAACACATTTTGCTCTAAAGCTTCTATTCTTATTTGACAGGTTCTAAAGTTAGACCTGAACTTGAGACATTTACGAATCAGTGTCTGTTACAGGTGACTAAAGGGTACTATTCTCAGTTGCTGAATCAGATAGTAAACATCGCTGCAATAATTTTTCCAAAAAATATCTTATAGTTAGCAAGAACTGGGTTCAAATTGGTTTGCCTTTTCTCTTAGGAATGTTTTCTTTTCATTTAAAGGCCTAAGATCATTCCTACGTTGCCAACTCAATGCAGTAAAATAGTTTCTGATAAAGAGAAACGTAAGTAATCTTATTGCTTTCAGTTCATACTTTGGGAAAACGCTGGGTGGTACTTAACATGTTAAGAAAGTGCTAACATGCTCAGCTGTGTTGAGGTTCAAGTCCATCCAGAGATATCTTGGAAGAAAGGCCACGCAATCTACTTCCCAAAAATCAGCCATTGAAAACACTATGGAGCACAATTCTACTCTGAGAGACGTGGGATTGCCATGAGTTGGACTCCATGGCAACTGGTTTCTGGTTATACCTTGCAACCTGCTCAAGATAACTCTGCTTGTAAAGGAAGAACATTGGACTAGAAGTCTGGCCTTCTGGCTTCCCTTGAACTGGTATCTCACTGCCTCGTATAATCCAGGAACACGCAATCTGTGATTCCTGCAGCATCTCTATTCAGTTCCCAATGCCCTTTAAATGAATCCTTGTCTTTTTCAGCCATACCCTATCCCTCTCTTTTTCTTCACCCCTTTTCTCCCTCTTGCCTAAGCTGCAGGCCAGTCAATTGAGCTGTGTGGGTGCCGGTCAGGGATAAAGAATTTAACAATCCCTGGCATTTTCACTTGTTCCAGCCTAAGGGTTGAACGTGAGGCAAAAACTTCCTCCAGTCATTCTCAGTGTTCTTTATGGTTCATGGCAAAGGCCACTGTGCACACTGAGGGAAAGAAACTGTGGCTGTTTGGTTTGCTGTTCATTCCTCAGTCATTGTGGCTCACGGCCATTTCTTCCCCCAGAACCTAACATGATAAGGACAGATCAAGCTTTCACCTTCTGCCTTCCGTCGCCACCTTCACTGCATCTCGGCTGCTTGAGCTCTGCCTGCTACCTTCCCTCAGCATCTCCCTTTGAAATAGAATCACAGAGAAGTGTTCCCAGAACCTAGAGCCACAGGGCACTTACATATAAGAAAGCCAAGGACTAGGGAGGGAGAGAGACTTGCCCAGAGCCACACAGCCAATGCATGGCAGAACCAGAAAGAAAGCTGTGGTCTCCTGACCCCAGAGATTTTCCACCTTCTTCCATAAACTGGGCCCACCAACATGCCCAGTGGTTGCCTAAAATACATGAAAGACCCCAGTCACTTGTTCCATGAATCGGCACTCTAGGAAATGAGCTTGTTTCCTATATAACTATTAAATAAAGTCCTTTAGTGAAGGAAAACTCATGCATACCGAGTTTTTGCAGCTGATTTTATGAATTGGCATCCTTTCATGAAGCAGAATTATTCTCCTAAAAACAGAGAAAAAGGCTCACGGGAAGAAGCAGGAAACTTTCAGCCCCATGAACAGCAATACACATCTAGTCTGCTTCAGCCTGCTCTCTTCCCCTTCCTGCCTTTCACCACCCTCTCAGCGCCAGCGTCCCCACTCACTGCATCCCCACCTCCTGGAATTCTCCTAGACTTGGAGACCTCTTTCCCTCTGAGGAAACACTGTCCACTCTGGATTCTCTGTTAGATGGTGTTTCATCTCCATTTCCTTTCTGGAGCCTGGAGCCAGGGAGTCTCAACCCAGATGGGCCAGGCAGCCAGGAAGATGCTCATGGGGTGCGTTTCAGCCAACTGCAGCACGATGCATGTTGTTCCAGCAGATTGGAAGGCACTGGTCATGGGGGGCCTCTGGTGCAGGATGGAGGCAGCAGGGGGCGCAAGAGAGGCATCATTATTAAGGGAGCGTTAAGAGCCCTGGTGACGAAGTGGTTAAGAGCTCAGCTCCTAACCAAAAGATGGGCAGTTCAAATCCACCAGCTGCTCTTTGGAAAGCCTATGGGGCAGTTATACTGAGTTCCATAGGGTCACTATGAGTCAGAATCGACTTGACATCAATAGGTTTGGTTTGGTTTTGGGGTGTGCAGTTACTCAAAATCAAACCAGTTGTCCTTGAGCTGATTCCAACTCATGGCAACCCAATATGTGTCAGAGCAGAAGTGTGCCTCATGGGGTTTTCAAAGGCTGATTTTTCGGAAGTAAATCACCAGGCCTTTCTTTTGAGGCATCTCTGGGTGGACTCAAACCACCAACCTTTTGATTAGTCGTCAAGCACGCTAAAAGTTTGCACGACCCAGGGACTTCACAGTTAATCAAAGCTGTGTTTATTTCCATTCTTTCAGCACTGGATTTAAGTTGGTTGGCTGCTGATTTTCTCAGGCAGTTCTTCCATCAGAACTGTGAGTTCCATGAGGCAATGACTGCTTTGCTCACCATTTTGTCCCTAGGTCTCAATAAATTTTCAGTGGATGCATGGATGGATGAATGATTCAAATACCAATAGAAAACAAAACAGCCCTAAGGAATGAAAACAAAGCAACCAGTGGCACTATGTTCTAGGCTGCTAAGGAGACTCTGGACACCTCCTTGGTGCATTGCTCCCCCTGCTGAAGAGAAAGACTTTGCTGTGGGCTTTAAGGAGTTTGCCTCTGGGGGCGTGCCCCTCTCCCAAACACACACAGTCCCAAATGGGATTATTTTATGTATGCCTTTATTTCGTCACAGACAAAGAATTTCACTGCAAAACTGTGGTGAGTAAAATAGTGAATTAATAGCATTAAAATGAGGACCAGAGAAGGGACTGATCAGAACTTGATTAGTCTGTATTTTTGATACGATGCTGCATTCCACTGGTGAGAATTTTTACATCTATGTTCTTGAGTGATATTGGTCTGTAATTTTCTTTTTTTGTGGTGTCTTTGCCTGGCTTTGATATCAGGGTTACTCTGGCTTCATAGAATGAATTCAGGAGTATTCCTTCCTTTTCTATGTTCTGAAATAGTTTGTGTAGTACTGATGTGAGCTCTTCTCTGAACGTTTGGTAGAATTCTCTAGTGAAGCCATACGGCCCAGGGCTTTTT